TGATCTAGACCGTTTAATATATCGCTTGGAATCGTGTTCGTAGATCAGACATTCGCACATTCCAGGAAGCAGCCAAATACATTTTCTTGCACGCATAATGGGCAAAACAGGGTTGATCGCGATACCAAAATCGCCACCTTGCCCCCAAACGCAGGCACAGGTTATATATAGCAACTTACAACGATTGAAAACCATAGAGAAAAGTGGCCCGATGGACCATCCAATTCACAACACCCCCAACATTTTTGCCATGTACTTGAGGAGCATAGTTGGCAGCAAACCAATGCAGCTGGCCTATCGCGAGCTTCTCCAAGCCCAGGCAATTCAGTGATGCCCAGATGGAGGGAGAGGGAAAGAAGTGGTGAATACAGAAGGGACGTTGCCTGCACCTGCAGGTCAATGCAGCTGCCCTATGGCCAGCCAGTCTCTCCATGTCTAGGTGATCCAGTGGAGAGGAGGAAAGAACATGGAGGATATGAGAGGACAGGAGCGAGGAGGAGAGCCGTGAATACCGCAGGAGGTCTAGCTGTGGACTAATGAACTGGCCTATCGCCAGTGTCTCCATGCTTACCATCTGTGGGGGGGGTGGTGAGGCGCGGCCAGCTTGGTAGCAATGCGGCTGATACACAGAAAGTGGGCTGATTTACGGTGCATTCCTGAATCGACACAAATGTCTTAATCACTTTGTGACACCCAAACACAACATAAACTATAGTATGTCCCAAATGCGAGTCGCCTTTCAGCAACCATTACTGTATTTTTCATTGGTCATGGTGAAACGTGCTGACGTCGCTGACGAATTGTGAATCGACTCGTCATTGTCAAAAACTCGCACGCGGTTCGAAATGTCAATGCACTTGGACAGCCTGCAACGCCAATTTCACGCGGGAAAAAATCCCGCGCGTCGAACAAATCCTAGCCAAGCGGTTGAAGAAACGGGTGTACAGTCAAATGAGTCACCCAATCAAATGCGCCCAACTGCGAATTCCACCTGGTCGCCTAGTGTCGCGATCTTAAAATAGGTTAGGAACAAGTGTCGAGAGAATTGTGTGAGTGAGTGGGAACAATGAGATACAAGTGTCGACCTAGAGAATGTTGTACCCTTTAGAGGGCAACTCACAGTAGCCTAGAATAACTAACATCTAGAACATATAAACATTTGACACACCCCCATAGGCTAAGTGAGGGGCATCAAATCAACCAAGGGAAACAAACGGTCACAAGACCAGTCAAGAGAAGGAACACTGCAAGCTCAGGGTGGATCACGAAGTCACCATACAATTTGAGCACAAGCAAAGGGCCACAAGGCCTGTTCAAGAGTTCAGAATATGTATAGATACAGGAACAAGCAGAGCAAGCAACAAGAAGCAAGTCTACAGTAACCGAACACCAGCGTCAACAAGCCCCAACTGCACACAGAACCTGTGGTGGTCACCAGGCGCCAAGGCCTTGGTGAAGACGTCGGCAGTGTTGGCCTCTGAGGCCACAAAGTCCAAGCGTGCCTGGCCGCGTCACTGCAAATCTCGTAGGAGGAAGTACCCCACGTCAATATGTTTCACCCTGCTCTCCAGTCAAGGCTCTCGACACAGGAGGATCATGGCCTTGTTGTTAGCGTAAAAGGTCGGTGCAGAGCGAGGCCGCTCACCAAGGTCGGCGAGCAAGAAAGTCAACCAACGAAGCTCCTGTGCCGCCATAGCACCAGCATAGATCTCTGCCTCTGCACTGGACGAAGCCACGGACGACAACCGTGTAGACCTCCACGACACAGCACCAGCACCAAGACTGAAACAGTAACCCTGAGTCGAACAATGAGTCTCCACGTCGTCAGCGTAGGAAGAGTCGCAGTGACCGGTCAACACAACTGGCTGTGTCCCTCCAAGCACAAGCCCCATGCCTGATGTAGTCGCCAGGTACTTCGCCACCCTCACAGCTGCTGTCCAGTGAATAGGACAGTGTCTCCCAGTCGCAACAAAGCGAGAGAGGACGATGAGGGGAAAGGCGAGGTCCGGCCGAGTACAAATCATCAGGTACATGAGGCAGCCCACAAGCTCTGCGTAGGGGCCACTAGACTCAAAGGACCAGTGAGTCGGTGGTCAACGGCAAGAGGTGTGGGCTGTGTGGTGGAGAACTGAAACCCGAACCGCCGAAGGACCTGTTGCACCATGTGTGACTGAGTCAGTGTGATGGTGCGAGCGGCTCTGTCCCTGGTGATTTGCAGGCCAAGGTAGCGCTGCAGTTCACCTAGGTCAGTGCACTTGTGTCTCTTTGGCAGTTTGGACTTCACCTGAGCCAGAGCTGCCCTGTCTGCTATGGCAAAGACCAAGTCGTCGACGTACACTAGTATAAAGAAAGGAGTGGAACCAGTGCGAACAAACAGCGACGGGTCGGCAGAGGAAGGACAAAACCCAAGGTCACGAAGCGTGGAGCGGAGAGTGTCGGGCCACTGACGGGGCGACTGGCGGAGACCGTAGACTGGTTGCCTCAGGCTCCACTGGGTCCCAGGTGGGAAGGTGTCAGTGAAGCCAGGAGGACGGCGCAGCCAGATCTCCTCATGCAGTCGGCCCTGGAGAAACGCAGTGGAGAAGTCAAGGGAGTGCAGCTCGTAGTCTCGTTGTGCTGCTACGTGCAGTAACACCCGAAGAGTAGTCATTTTCAGGGTCGGGGCGAAGGTATGGAAGAAGTCAACTCCCTCACGCTGACTGAACCCCCTAGCCACGTAGCGCGCCTTGAACACAGGCGGTGAACCAGGCGGCCGCTTCACCTTGAAGAGCCACATGCCATCGACAACGTTCGCCTTGGGAGGGGGAACTGCGTCGACGTACGTGCCTGTGGATCTCCAAGACGCTAACTCTGCATCCATAGCCGCTTTCCACTGAGATGCCCGCTTCCCTGACACTGCCTCACGGTACGTGCGAGGTGTTGGCATGTCAAGGGCGTCGGGGTCTCCCTCAAGGGAAAGCAGCATGGCGCATAGAGAGGGGGAAGCGGCTGCTAAGAACTCCAGCGCAAACTGCCTGTCCTCTAGGACGTCACAGCCAAGGGCAGACTCACCCCCGACGGACAGAGGACGGGGAGGTGGAGCAGCCACCACACGCGTGGCGTAGTCAAGACGGTGGGTGGAAGAAAATTCAGCGACAGTGGCAGTAAGAGCCGACGACGGAGGGGCACGAGGGTCGGTGACAAGAGAGGCGAGAACACGGGAGACAACAGGGCGTGCAGCACGGTAGTAGTCAGTGATAGGGTGAGAGGAAGCGGTGAGAGTCGACTGAGGAGGTGAGGGGAGAAAAGACACAGGTGGAGAACGACGAGGAGGAGAACGAAACAAGACAGTGCGGAGGTCGGCAAGAGGAGACGAGGGCCGAGCACGCGAAGGAAAACGACTGGTCCAGTCGTGTGGGACAACAGGAGGAGACGACTGTGACTGAGGAGGAGAGAAAACAGCCGGAGTCGAGTCCGGAGGAGGAAACGTAGGACCGTACGCAGTAGGTGACTGGGAGTGGACAGGAGGAGAGGAAGGAAGACCAAGGGCCCGACGGCCACTCACTGGAGGGAACAGCTGCTGCAAAGGTGGCGGCTGCGGCGTCTGCTGCTGCTGCGGCTGCTGCGACTGGTGCTGCTGGTCCAACTGCTGCAGCTCCTGCCTCTCCTGCTCCACCCGCTCCTGCTCCTCGCGCTCAAGCTGGCGAAGGGCCTGGAAACGGGTGTCGTGGTGGTGGGGACGTGCAGTGGGCGACGTAGTAGGCGAGCCTCCAGCTCCCGTCTCCTCAGTACCAGCACCTCCAGCGTCAGTACCTCCTGCTCCAGCACCCCCAGAATTAGCACCTCCAGTGCCAGTACCTCCAGCACCAGCACCCCCAGAACTAGTGCCTCCAGTGCCAGCACCTCCAGAATTAGCACCTCCAGTGCCAGCACCTTCAGCTCCAGCACCCCCAGAACTAGCATCTCCAGTGCCAGAACCTCCAGCTCCAGCACCCCCAGAGCTAGCGCCATCTGCGCCAGCACCTCCAGCTCCAGCACCCCTTGAACTAGCACCCCCAGACCGAGTACCGCCAGTGGCTACACCTCCAGCTCCAACACCAACCGAGTCTAAAGTAACCTGTCGCGGAAGTGCCGAAGGGTGCTGAAGGGACTGTGAGGAGGACTGCGGGGAGGGAGACGCTACCTGACGCGCGACCGAGGGAGAGGGGTAGCGTGAGACACACCTGACGGGGCAGGACAGGGGGGGGCGGGGGTACCGGAGGAGCGGGAGCAGGGGGAGGAGAGGGTGCGAGGAAGAGGGGGGGAGGGGGAACCGGGAGACCTCGACAGGGGTACCGGATGTAGTAGGACACTGACTCATCAAACCGGACGTCACGAGAGTCTAGAAACCGGTGGAGGGGCGGGTGGTAAAAGGAGTAGTCGGGAGAGCCCACCGGGAAACCAAGGAAGACACAGGGGATGGCGCGAGCCGAGAGCTTGTCCGCAGAGGTGTCGCGGACAAGCGCAAGGCAGCCCCAGACGTGAAAGGCCGACCCAACACCAGGGGACCTAGTCCAAAGACTGGTCGGTGAAACCTCTGGCCATGAGACACGCGGCTGGAGGTTCAGCTGGTGCGCGGCGTAGCGCAGCGTGTAGGGCCACAGAAAATGGGGCGCACGGGCATGGATCATGGACGTGCGGGCGATGTCCATGACCAAGCCAATGTGGCACTCAGCAATCCCATTCTAGTGTGGGGACTCCGGCAGCGTCCAGGTTTGTTTCATGCCCTGCTCGCCGCTGAACCCGGCAAGGACGCCGGAGCGAAACTCAACCCCACGGTCGGAGTGGAGACAACGGACACGACTACCAAGAGTGCCCTCAGTGGCCAGAAGCCACCGGATCAGCGTAGAAGTCACCTCGGACTTCTTCGCGAGAGGAAACACAATGGTGTACCTGGAGTAGTCGTCAACGACCACTAGAAAGTAGCGCTCCCTCTCAGGTCCCAGCGTAGGGGCAGGGCCCCAGACGTCCAGGTGGAGAGTCTAGAAAGGAGCAGTGGCCGGACGAAGGGAGGAGGAGTGCGGAGTGGCGCGCAGGCGGCCGGCGACGCAAGGAGTGCAGTGTGGGGCAAGCGAGGGAGGGAGCGACGAAAAGACGCGCAGGAGACCTGAGACAAGACTGTGACTGGCCATGCTGCGGAGTCGGGGGTGCGACAGGTGGCCAAGGCGGTGGTGCCACAAGACGGTCGGGTGGGCGAGGGACCGACAGGAGCAAGACGCTGCAACATGACCAGACACCACTACATGACCACACACAGCAACTGGACTAGACACTGGGACCTGAGGGGACCCAGCGATCTGAACGGAGGAAGTAACCGGGGAGCGCTCGGTGTGGAGAACGTAGAGACCAGAGCGGGACTCCCTGGTGAACGTGGCTAGAACAGCACCTGTAGCGGCGTCTGTACATACCGCAGTCCTCCCACCCCCCACAAAAGTAACGGTGATCCCCCTGTCCTGGAGGTATCCAACACCCACCAAGTTCCGAGTGAACGAGGGGATGTGGAGGCTGCGCAGGACACCAGAGGGGACCACAGGGCACGGGAGGGTGGTGGAGCTGCGCGCAACGGCTGGTCCTGAAGAAGAATCAGCCAGAGCTACCGGAACGGGGGCAAGGAGTGGTGTGAGGGTCGTGTGGTCGCGGAAGAAACACTGCGACGCGCCAGAGTCCATCATGAACGACAGAGACGCCTCAGCCGGAGGCGTGGCAGGCCCGGAGGCTACACAAGCACCTAGAGCAGAGACACAAGCACCTAGACTAGAGAGGCACAGGTCTACACTAACAGGAGGCAAGCATCCTAGACTACGAACACGCGAGCACACATATCTATCAGCACTATAGTCAACATCAGCATACAAAGCATACTGACGAGCATCGTCCATAGACAGTTCAAATACAGGAATCTTACGAGCTAGCAGGCGAGCCCAGCGCGGGGTGGTCGCCTCAGGACCCCAGCGTGCACGGTAGTGGTCGTCGAGGCGGCGGAAGAACCGCACTGCAGAGTGGTCGTCGCAGCCACAGACACAGGGACTGCCCAGTCCGATGACGAACCGGTGGTCGCAGGGGCCGGTGTCGCGCCGCGGGGGGCGAGGGGCCCAGCTGGTAGTGCTGCTGCTGCGGCCAGTGCTCCCGGGTCCTCCAGGTCCCCACTGTGGCGGAGGGCCCCAGTGCTGCTGCAGACCCCACTGCAGTGGGGGTCCCCATGACTGAAACTGCTGTGGTGCCTGCCACTGCTGCTGTCCCTGCTGTTGCTGCTGTCTCTGCTGTGGCTGCTGCTGCTGTGGCTGCTGCTGCTGGGGCCCCGCACCATCGCTGGTCGAACCTCCTCCAGCATGCGGGTCAGCACCTCCTCCAGAGCTCCCTATGCCTGGGGCACCACCGCCACCACTGCCACCCTCAGGGCCGCCTCCACCACCGCCACCTCCTCCACCGCCGCCACCCCCCTTCCCCCCTTTGTTGCCTCCCTTGCCCCGTTTCTGCCTGTCAGCGACAGAAATAGCTACAGTGTCTTCAGAGACCGACACAGCAGCAGAGGCACGAGTAGCAGTGAAGGTAGGAAGCTGGGGGACAGCATACCCCTCAAACAGACGAAGGGCAACTGCGTCAGTGGCTGAGGCAACAGAGAGGAGGTTGTTCTCGATCTTCCCGAGAGTGGTCTCAAGATGATCAATCGTAAGCTCACTGGGGTGCTGCTGGAGAAGTGCGTCATGGGCAATAGAGAGGCGGTCAGGGAGACGAGTGACTACCCAGTGGACGGTGATCCAGATAGGAGGAGGGGCAACAAGAAGCTGAGCCTCATTTCAAGTTGCTCGGTAGCTAGCGACAAGGGAGCGCAAGTGTCTGGCTAGGTCAGAGACAGTCGCAAACGAGCCGAGGTCGGGAAACACGAACGGCATGAGGATGCGGCTGAGGGAGGCAGAGGAAGGGGTGGAATAGCGCGCAGAAATGGCATCATACACCTCCTTCGCAGTCTCTACCAGGTCGAAGTGAGCGGCCTCAGTCGGTGGAAGGAGCTCGGTCAGCGCGACTGCAGCCGCAGCGTCACGGGAGTCCCAAACGTCCCGCGCCAAGACGAGACGAGCGTAGTCCGCCTGTGCCTCCGGAGTCGGAGGGGGGGGGGGGGAGATAGCGCTGAGTCTGGCGGAGCCAGGTGCCGAACACTATCGGGCGCCCCTCTGCATCGAAACGAAGGCGGCGGGAGGAGTCCATATTGGACGCTAGGCTAGGAGCAGCTGGAGCACGGAGCAAACGGAGCTAGGAGCGAGGAGCGCCAGGTGGGACTAGGCGAGTTACTACCGGAGCACGGAGGAAAACTGAGCTAGGAACGCCAGTCTAGTAACGAACGGAGTTGGGAGCTAGCTGAGCTAGGAGCAGACGGCTGGAGGAGGCAGGGCTGACGAGCCGATCGAGGAGCCAGAGAGTCGTTCGAGGGGCTGGCGGAGCGAGGAGAGACCTAGCTAACAACGAACATAAGGACTAGCCTAAACAGCTAAGCGGAGCGGCCTCCAGCCGCGACGGTGCGAAACACTGTGAGTATGAGTGACGCGAGTGTCGAACCAATGGAGGTCGGGTGGTTTTGGGTGATGTGCGCGCGTGATGAGGGGCTGTGAGCGGTTGGAAGGGGTTGTGAGCGGTTGGAAGGGGCTGTGAGCGGTTCGAAGGGGCTGTGAGCAGTTGGAAGGGGCTGTGAGTGGTTCGAAGGGGCTGTGAGCGGTTGAAAGGGGCTGTGGGCGGGTGGGAGGGGCTAGCTGGCGGCTAGCTGCTGATGGCGGCTAGTTGCTGGCGGCTAGCTGCTGCTGGCGGCGAGCTGCTGGCGGCTAGCTGCTGCCTAGCCGTGCTGCTGGAGTAACACGCGCTGCTGCCTAGCCGTGCCGCTACAGCAATGTACGCGCTGTTGCAGCAATGCACGTGCTACTGCAGCAATGCACGCGCTGCTGCTGCAATGCGAGCGCTGCTGTTGCAATGCGCGTGCTGCAGTGGCGTGCGCGGCTGCCGCTAGCTAACGTGCGCGCTGCTGCTGCTGGTGCGTGTGTGCCTGCTGCGTGCACGCGCGGCTGTTGCGGGCTAAGCACGACTACGCGGGCCCGCCGGAGGGGGGAGGGGGTCCCTTCTGGAGCGCGACGAAATGAGGGGCCAGCGGGGCCCTTTAGACGCGACTAAAAACGAGGCCCGAGGGGGCCTTTGAACGCGACGAAAACGAGGTCCGCGGGGGCCGTCCTACCCGCGACAAAACGGAGCCTAAGAGACGGGCGCCTCGGGACCGGCTAAGGGAGGGAGCGGAAGCGTGGGAGGGAGAAAAATTACCTATTCTAATACCATCTTGAAATAGGCTAGGAACAAGTGTTGAGAGAATTGTGTGAGTGAGTGGGAACAATGAGATACAAGTGTCGACCTAGAGGATGTTGTACCGTCATACCCCGGATATATCCCCATGGGGGGCAATAATAAAACAGGTTGTTTTTGGGGGGTGGGCTTATAATCGAGTAAATTTATAAGCGCCGGCGTTTATAAAATGACATATCTGTTTTTTTATATTTTTTAACACCAAACTGTAGATCTCATGCTTGCCTTTTCAATCGAGTAGAAGTTACATGGGGTCGTCTGTGAAATTCTCACGCGCGCAGGGAGATACACCAAATGTGACTCACATCCAGCTCCTGACAGCTCCTGACAGCTCCTGACAGCTCCTGCTGACTGGACCCGCATCCAGTGCAAGGTTCGAATGTGAAAGGAACCGAATATGCAACACATCCGTCTGCTAAAGTAAAAATCGTTACAGCGTTTTGAACACATTTCAAAATTTAAAGTTTACCTGCGCTTGTAATAAAACAAGTTTTTTTCAGGGGGTGCGCTTATAATCGAGCAGGGGATATAAGCGCCACACGTCAATTAAAAGCGCCAGGCGCTTATCCGAGGGTGGCGCTTATATCCGGGGTATGACGGTACCCTTTAGACGGCAACTCACTGTAGCCTGGAATAACTAACATCTAGAACATATAAACATTTGACACGCGATACACACGATTCTCGGCATTTCGCAAATTTCGTCAACGTCACACCTACCAAAAAAGGGCTTATAAAAAATTTGTAACTCCCCGTTGACGGTTTAACTTCGGTCTCTTCTGTTTGACTTCGGTGTCAGATTTATATGACATAGCTACTGTAGGCTATAGTGGGGTAGCACATATGGGGTACAGTTTTCTAGGGTTTACATTTTGTACCCAACTTTCCCTTAGTCATTTCTCATTCCTCGTTTCTTCTCATGGTATCGAGCAGGTTCCCTAGTGGGAACGATTCCTAGGGCCCACCACCACGAATTTTTTTTTTCCTGCCCGGAGCGCGCTTCGCTCCGGCCCGAGTCGCGCCCTGTGTGCTCTCCCTACCGTCGCGCCCTCGCTAGGCCCCTCACGGCCCCGTCGCGTCGCCCTTAGCGGCCCTCTCACGGCTCCCTAGCGCCGCCCTTACGGCTCGTCGCGCCGCCCTTACGGCCCGTCGCGCCGCCCTTACGGCCCGTCGCGCCCGTCGCGCCGCCCTCACGGCCCCTCGTGCCGCCCTTACGCCCCGTCGCGCCGCCCTTACGGCCCGTCGCGCCCGTCGCGCCGCCCTCACGGCCCCTCGTGCCGACCTTACGGCCCCCCGTGCCGCCCTTACGGCCCCTCGCGCTACCCTTACGGGCCCTCCCGCGGCCCCTTCGGCCCCTCCCGTCGCCAGTCGGCCCCTTACGGCCCCCCCTCGCGGCCCCTCGAGCCGCCTTCCGCGGCCTTCTCACGGCCTGTCGCCGCCCTCGACGGCCCCTCGTGGCGCCCTTCACGGCCTCTCCGCCGCTCTTCGCGGCCCCTAGCGGCCGGCAGCCGCCGTCCCTGAGGCAGCAGCCGCAGCCGTCTCTGCAGCAGCAGTCGCCACAGCTTCTGCGACTGCTGCCGCGGTCGTCACCAACCACACCCGCCGCCGAGCCGCCCAGCAGCCGAGCACCCGAGCCGCCGAGCCGTCCTGCAGCCGAGCAGCCGAGCCGCCGAGCCGCCGAGCCGCCCAGCAGCCGACCGCCGAACCGCCCGGGCCGCCGAGTTGCCGAGCCGCCCGAGCCGCCCGAGCCGCCCGAGCCGCCGAGCCGCCCGAGCCGCCGTCCTGCCGAGCCACCGAGCCGCCGAGCCGCCCGAGCCGCCCTGTCCAGTAGGCAGCGCCTCTATCACTGCACTGCCCTTACCCTACTGTTCACACTGCTAGTCTACTGCTGTCATGGCTACCCCTAGTGTCCTCGCCTTTGACGCTGAGGGTCGGGCCATTGACTTTGACGTCTGGGTAGATGACCTGCAGCTTTTCTTACAGTGCGATAGGGCAGACGGTCTCTCCCTCTTTGACCTCACCTCTGGTGCCTCTCCTGCCCCTGCTGCTGATGCCGACGCCACTGTTCGCTCACAGTGGGCCACACGCGATGCTGCTGCACGTCTAGCTGTGCGTCGCCACCTGCCTACCTCTGAGCGTGCGCACTTTAGCCAGTACAAGAGTGCTCACACCTTGTACGACGCTGTAGTTGCGCGCTACTCCTCCCCTGCCACTGCTGCACTGAGCCGCCTCATGCTACCGTACCTCTTCCCTGACCTTGCTGCCTTTCCCACAGTCGCTGACCTCATTACGCACCTCCGCACTAGTGACACTCGCTACCGCGCTGCGCTTCCTGCTGAGTTCTGCGCCAAGAACCCCCCCCCCATGTACATCACCCTCTACTACATAGTCACCCGGCTCCCTGACTCCCTTCGTGTAGTCAGGGACCACTTCCTCTCAGTTTGCCCCACCACTCTCACCGTTGACCTCCTCGAGAAGGCCCTCCTAGCAGCAGAGAAGAGCATAGTCGCTGTAGGAGCCTCTCGTGGTGACCCTCGCACCCCCGTCTTTGAGGGGTGTTCCCCCTCCCCCCTTTTGCCCTCTGTTGCCTCTGCTGCTGCGGCCGACCTCGTTGGTCTCGAGTCGGTCGGCGCTGCGTCTGCCCCGAGCGGGAGACGCCGCACCGGCAAGGGCAAGGGGGGCAAGGGTGCTGGAGGGGCTGGCGGGGGTGGCGGAGGTGGCGGTGGCGGCAGTGGAGGGGGTGGGGGTGGTGGTGGGAGTGGTGGCGGGGGTGGAGGTGTCGGTGGCGGCAGTGGAGGCGGAGGCGGCGGCGGCGGTGGCGGTGGGAGCGGAGGTGGCGGAGGTGGCGGCGGTGGAGGAGG